TACCTTTGATGAGTATCCAGAAGCTACAGCTGGTACAGAATGCAGTGGCGCGGACAGTTCTGAATGACCCGAAGAAGGACCCATATAACACCTCTGCTCCGTGAGCTGCATTGGGCACCAGCTTGCTTCCGGGTCCAATTCAAGGTGTTGGTTATCACCTTTAAAGCCCTACATGGCATGGGGCCAGGCTACCTGAAGGACCGCCTCGCCCCCACGATCTCTACCCGTCCCACCCGATCTCACAGAGAGGGCATGCTTCGGATCCCCGCGGTAAAAGAACTCCGATTAGCGGGGTCCAGAAGGCGGGCCTTCTCTGCTGTGGCCCCTGCCCTTTGGAACATCTTGCCCCCGGAGGTGAGACAGGCCCCCTCACTCCAGGCCTTTCGGAGAAATTTGAAGACCTGGCTCTGCCATCTGGCCTGGGGCGGGGAGGGAGGAGCTCAGAAATGGGGTTGGCTGGCCCCTTAATGGCCTGGTGTGGCCCCTATTGGCCTCTTGGATTTCTTAGCTTTTTAATATTTTTAATGTTTGGTTTTATAACTTTTAACTGTATTCATGTTTTTTAGTATGTTGTAAGCCGCCCAGAGTCCCCCATTGTGGGGAGATGGGCGGGGACAAATTAAATAAATAAAAATAAAAATAAACTTGTTTTTTTGTCTTTTTAATGTTTGGTTTTATAACTTTTAACTGTATTCATGTTTTTTAGTATGTTGTAAGCCGCCCAGAGTCCCCCATTGTGGGGAGATGGGCGGGGACAAATTAAATAAATAAAAATAAAAATAAACTATAGTCATTGTTCAAGGCTATAGTTTCTTGTTAAAGTCAAATCTTGTCCTTCCTTGGTTATTAGTGCTATATTGGCCTCTTTCCAACCCTCTGGCATCCTTCCTCTCTGTAAGATCGAATTCATCATGTTTTATAAAGGTTGTAAAAGTTCACCCTCAAAACATTTATAATAAAAACTGATAATTCATCCAGTCCAAGCACCTTTCCTGGTTTAATCTTTTTTATACAGTAGCTTCAGAAAGTTCTTATTGTTACAGGTCCATTCATAATCTGTCTCTGTTCCTCTGTAATCCTTGGTAAATTGTGTTTCTTTAGTTATTCATATATTTTCTCCAGAGAGATGTCACCTCCTTTATACAAGTTGGAATAATGTTGATGAAATGTTTTTTGTATAGCCATGTTATCCATTACTACAGTATCTCCCTCTTATAATTTCAATATCATTTTTTTCCTTTTCTTTTCATACTTTATATGCCAACCACTTCCCTGGTTTGTTTGCAAACTCAGAATTTTTTGCTTTACATAGTTCATTTTTATTTCTATTTCTCTTATTGTTAACATAGATAACTGTCATTGTAAAAGCTTAATTTGTTGAGAAATACTTATCTTCTCTGGAAATTTCTTTAGTTCATCTTCTTTTCTCTTTATCTCATCCAAAATAGCTTGTGTTTGCTCTTGACTCTTCTTTTTGAGTTCATTATTATGTTGTACAAAATAACCTCTAATGAAAGCTTTACCTGCATCCCAAACCATTCTTAAAACCTTTATCTAATTATTTTCAAAAAAATATTTTAATTTCTTTTTACAAACCTCCACTACTGCTTCTTTCTGTAACAACATTTCATTTAGTCTCCATCTAAAAGAATTAGATTTCATTTTATAAACCAGACTCATAGGATTATGACCCAAAAAAGTCTTTGGTAATATCTCTACTTTAGAAACCTTAATAGCCAAATTCTTTGAAATCCAAATCATATCTATTCTTGAAAAGGATCTATGTCTTTCAGAAAAGTAAGTATCCTCTCTTAAATTGTCATTTTTCTATCTCCATACATCAACCAACCCTAAATTGTCCATCAGATTAAAAAAAAAACTTTTGGTAATTTGCCTTGAGTAATGTTAATAGTTTCCTCAGAAGTTCTATCCAGTTGTGGGGAGACCACTCCATTCCAATTTCACATCAAACACCAATCTGCTGCTGAGACACTTGTGTAAAGTGTGTGTGTGTGTGTGTGTGTGTGTGTGTACATGTGGACAATGACATTATTCAAGACTGGAAAAAGGGGTAATTGGGTCAAAACAGTTTAAGAACCACTGCCTTAAGGCTTCTGCTAAGCCTTTTCTCTATAGAAGCATCCTTAATGAAAGCATTTTTACTATAATTATTTGTAAACTTTAAGAAGATAAGCAACTGGGGGACATTGGCAAAAGCACTATAATTATTGTCCAACACATACCCTATCTTCTTGCTCAGCTTGTAGTTCCTTCACTCTCTCTAAAAGTCTGGCCTTGGCACGATCAAGATTAGCAGCAAGCCCGCTTATAGAGATGATATCAGATTGAAGCTCTGGGGCAGGAACTTGGATGTTTACCTAACAAATGCAGGCAAAAAAATTGATATCTTATCATAAACAGCCATTTTTACAGATATCCCGAACTTTCAAAAATGTCACCATTCAAAGAGTTGGATTTCCCAAGTTCTTAAGTTAACACAATATTATTAAATATTTTCATGGGAGGGTTCAGACTCCACAACATGAAAAATGAGAAAACAAAACTTAATATGCTATTCATTTGTACTTTCAGGCATCTCAGACAAATCTGTGACCAATGGTAAGACACTAATTCTTAACTTTTGCAATGTACTGGAACAACAATAAAGAATTCTTACTACAGTTACAGAAAATTATTAAACAAGGCTTATCTTGACTTTTCCTGCAAGCAAAAGAGAAGGGATCAACCAGCTGGTTTTCTAAAAATTAAAATAAGAGATTCAACAAAGACATTACTCACCTCAAACTCATCCATCATTTTCCGGATTCCAACACCCTTCTGACCAATGATAAAACGATGAAGGTCAAAGGGAACTTCTACTTCAATTGTAACTGGGACCAAAGCCTAAAAATGGAAATCATATTGAGTAATTTATGACAAAAAAGTTCTGTCATAGCACAGCAGAGCCCTTAGTGTGATACCCTGGAAATGGAAAGTGGGATACCTCTCCCACTAATCTTCTGGGTCTTCACACCCCGGCTCTACCTTCTTAGCTTTGGGGATAGTGCCTTAGTAGTTCCTCCTGCCATCACTTATTTTCCAAGGAGCACCTCACCTAATATCATCCCCATACCCCTGGTGACCTGAACTGTGCTGCCTTACTGTCAATTAAAAAGATAAAAATGGGGTAAATAAATAATTTATATAATATAATCACCAGGCTGTGTAGCGTACTGGCTTATATCTAGGGATTTCAAGTCCTTTTTAACTTTGTGAGAAATTTGCAAAAGCACATGCAGTATCTGCTACAAAGAGCACAATTTCCTTTGGGAAATCTGAGTTTATTTAATGTATGAACAACAAAAGATTCTAAATAAAATTAGTAATATCCTACACAGTCTAAAGTCAGGATGAATGAAAGATGACTTTAAGTATTCAACTCCACTGGAGTTGGGTGGCAAAAAGGAAGGGGGAGGGGGAGGGGGAGGG